GCCAAAAACTGCCTATAACTCCACAGGGAGGCACCCAGTACCAGGAGCCTAGTCTTATGCAGATCTTGCTCAGATAGGTCCAGGTCTGTGAGTTCATGGATACAACAGGTACTTCAAGTCTAGAAAACAACATTTCACAGTATTCCCTCCCATCTGGCTTGTACCTTCTTTCCAACTCCTCTTCCACAATGTTCTCTGAGCCTTGGAAGTGGTAATATGGATGTCTCATTTAGGACTGAGCACTCAACAGTCACTTTTTCTCAACACTGACCAATTATGAGTCTCTGCATTAGCATCACCCACTGCAAACAGAAGCTTCTCTAACCAAGGTTGGGAGCAGCTCTGGTCTGGAGATTTAGAAGGCAGTTTGACACCACGTTTACTTAGTAAAGCAACAGTTGTAGATTCCTCCCTAGGGCCTATGACCTCTGAGCCATGAGTTTTTGACAAGGTTTGCAGTATCAGACATTAATTCCTCCTGTGGAGTGGACCTCAGATCCAATCAGAAAATGGTTGGTTTCCCTATACCAGCTGTGCCACCATTGTACTAACAGGCACATCTTATCTGGCAGGTTGGTATTCAGGGTTCACTGCTAGGTAAGTCTTTGTTGACTTTTCTCCCCAACAAACAGTATGCATTTTGTGAATTTTCCTTTTGAGACGGCGTCTTGCTCTGTAGCTCAGTCTGGCCTGGAACTCACTATGAAGCCTGGAGACACAAACGCACACTAGCTAAAACCTGCACAGGGTTATGGTCATCAATAGCACTGTTTTCTAACTTCATGTCTTGTTCCATTGGAAGGTTCTACTAATAGATATGGGGCTGTCATTTCCTCTTACAACAGTATCTTCTTCTGGAACATCTTAAGGACTTGCCTTGAGGCTGTGTGACAGGTAGGAGGAATTTGACCTAAAATAGTGATTTAAAGTATAGGATGATAAATACATAAATCAGTAAGTCATTTTTTTACATTTACCAAGTATTATGTACTATACATAATTGCACAGCCTATACTTTTATGTAACTGGCAATACAGTAGGTTTGTTTATACCATCATTGCCAAAATGAGCAATGCAGTGGGCTGCAACAGTTTGAGAGCTAAGAAAGCACTGAGTGACAGGGATTTGTCTGTTCCATCATGATCCTAGGAGACCACCAGCACATATACAGTTTAGCCTTGGATGAAACTGTTATATGGCTCATGACTGTAATGACACCTGCCAGCTTGGAATGTGAATAACATATTAAGAAATGTGTTTGGGGGCTGGAGAAGATGGTTCAGTGGTTAAGAGCACTGGTTGCTCTTGCAGAGGACCTGGGTTGGATTCCCAGCACCCACATGGTGGCTAACAAACATCCATAAATCTAGTTCCAGGGGATCTCACGCTCTCTTCTGACATCCACAGGCATTGAATGACATGGGTGCACTTAACATACATGCAGGCAATACACTCATACATATAAAATTTTTAAAAATGTGTTTTGTACCTAGTACACAGCAGTAGACACATAACAGCAACAAGAAAATCATGTAAGACTGAGCACTCTGGAGTTAGAGGTAGAAGGATCAGAAGTTCAAGGTCATCCTTGGCTACATAGTCATTTCAAGGCTATGCTATACTATAAAAGAGAGATTGTTTGAACCCATCCTAGGTGATGACACTGCTCTAATTAAATGTGTTTAATTACATAATACATTTGAATGTATTGTTTTAAGTAATGTCATTAACAACTCAATTGTGCCTGTATTAGTATTATCTGATAAATTCCTAGGTACAAACATTTTAACTTGCAAAAGGTTGGTTGCTTAGTAACTATATTCTCTTCTTGAATGTATTACTGTCTGCTGCATCCTAAGAACACTTATTTTTATTTTAAATTTTTTGTGTTCTTTTCCGACAGCAGCCTAAGCCGACCTAAACTCCTGATCCTCTTGCCTCCACCTCCCATGTACTGGGATTATGGGTATTGTAAGGATGCCCAGCTCTAAGGAAACCTCTTAGCTTTCCCTCTGCCTTTAAAGCTGACAGTGCTGTTGGCAGTCACTTCTCCATTAAATACTCCTCTTGACTTCTGTAAAATCCAGTGTAATTTTTCTAATTGCTACTTTTCAATAGTCTTCTTGTTGAGCCACATTTTAAAAAACCAAAGTTATCTCTTATTTCTGCAGATCATTCTTGAAGTAACCCTCAATGTGGCAACTCAAAAAGTAAATTTCTGTGTGTGTGTGTGTGTGAGAGAGAGAGTGTGTGTGTGTGTGGTGTGTCAGGTCCGTAGTCTAGATCACACTATTGTACTAATTTCCATTTCTTGGGAGCGGGGGGGACCTGCAGAGTCCAGAAAAGGGCATCAGATCCCTGGTGCTTGCCAGGTTTCCTGCCTCATGTGTGTTTTGGTGCCTGAACTTCGGTTCTCAACAAGACCTTTACATTCTCTTAACCACTGAGTTATTTCTCCAGCCCAAGCACTTCCAGTCCTCCCTCCCACTTTCTGACCCTTCTCAGCTCTAGCCTAGTATTATAGGTGTTATTAGAGACTCACTTATGTCCCAGGTATGCTTTTGAAATTTGAGGGCTTTGGGGGTATTTTGAGACTGGGTGTTTCTAAGTAATTCTGGCTAGCCTAGAACTTGCTATGTAGACCAGGCTGGCTTTGAACTTGGATGATCCTTCTGCCTCTGCCTCCTGCAGACTGGAATTACAAGTGTAGCCACTGCACCCAGCTTTGTTTTTGAAACTTCTCTGCCTTCATTTCTTTCGTCTTCAATGGTTTGCAGTCTTCTCAATACTGGAAATGCTTTACAAGTCTGGATGTTTCTGGCATTAGGCATTGCCTCTGAGCCCATCTAGGCCTTCACCAGATCTTACCTGCTTTCTTGAAGTCCTTAATTAACTGAATTTACAGCTTTCAACTACTTTCTACATACTGTCATCAGTGCTACATTTCTACTGGCTTTAACACACACCTCCCCCCATTCATACATCAGTTTTTGCTCTTGTGGGTGTCACCTCCAGTGTCACATGGCCCCTCCTCCTTCTGCAAGTGTTGCTTCCTTTGGAAGACCAGCACCTGCTCAACCTCTCCCACAGACTCCTTCTCAGCTGGTTTCTTCTTTCACAGTGTGTTCCTGTCTTAGGTTTTTTTGTTTGTTTTTCAGTTTGAGACAGGCTTTCATGTAGCCCCTGGGCTAATTTCAAAATGGCTATGTAGCCAAGGATGACCTTGAACTTCAAATTCTCCTGCCTCCCATCTATCTCCTGAGTAACGGATTACAGGCATGTGCTACCATGCTGTTTATTTGGTGCTAGGGATGAAAGCCAAGGCCTTGTGCATGATAGGCAAACACTACAACACTAGAGTTACACCCCAGCCTATGTCTTAATTTCTAACGAAAAAGTTTAAAAAGTGAAAAAGAAAAAATCTGGGCATGGTGGCACAGGCCTTTAATCCCAGCACTTGGTAGGCAGAGGCAGGCAGATCTCTGTGAGATCGATGCCAACCTGGTCTACATAATGAGTTCCAGGTCAGCTGGGGCTACTTTTAAAAAAAAGTGAAAAAGAATAAAAATGGAAAAGAGTTATTTGTCTTTTAACAGATCTTTGAAGTTAACCTTTTTATTTACAACTCTACACGCTATTCTTATATAAACTTGAAGCCCAAGGAACCCTCAACAGCAGGACTTTTGATTTTACCCGTTTGAGTGAACATTCTATGGAACCCTAAACTGTCTTTCTGTGCAACACGATGTGCTATGAGACACAGTTGGAGACAGCACACACTTTTGGCTAAGAGGAATGCGAGTTAATTGTTCTGAAATGAGATCTGACACTAGGATTATATAAATGTGCAAAAGGAGGTTAGGAAGGAGGGAGGAGGACATAGAAAGGGGAGGGAGGGAGGGAGGGGAGAGGATGGGCAAGGCACCTTTCTGGGTGTGCTTCTTCAACGGCAGCATGGGAATAACAGTTATAGTATGCAAGTTCAAGGCTCTCTATAGAATTAAGTGAGATTGTCCAAAAGGCCGTGGCACAGTGCCTGGGGCGCATACACACACACACACACACACACACACACACACACACACACACACACACGGCTCAATACTTCGTGATTATTTCTGGGCTTACTGCCCAAAACACTGGAGAGGGGGGTAGATGAGAGGTGACTGAGGTCTTTCCAGACATCCAAAAATTCTGTGATGATTCTGCCTTGTGTGCTTCAGAAGCACTGGCAATTCTGGCATTTCCAACCAGCTGCTTAGAAAACCAGTGTGGACCTGCGGAGCTCCAGGTGAGCCTCAGCATCTTCCCCGGAAGTAAATGAATTTGATCTCAGTTCTGATAAGAGCCTTCACCTTTTCCAAATCACCACAGGACTAGAAATCCTTCCTTTGTTGACAAATCTTGGCCCCAAAGCGCGCATTTGGGCGCCTGACATCCTTAGGCCCTTGGCTTCTGCTCAGAAAGCGCTTTCCAAGTTCTAAGAAGGAGACCTGCTCTCCGCGGGTGTGGTCCACCTCGCCAGCCTTGGCGCCGCGCTCCCAGAGAACGTGCCTTGGATCGGCGCGGGGCTCTCAAAGGTGGGAGGGCGGCTAGGTTAGCACCAGGGCGGAGGATGGGGTGGCGAGAGTGCCCGGAATGCGCCACCACTCCTACTCTCTGCGCCTGGGCGCGGCCGCTCGCGGCGCGGGCTGGGTGAAGGGTCCCGCCTGCCACCGCCCAGCATCCCGGGTCCCCAGCCGGCGCGCAGACTCCGGCGGCCGCGATCCCAGCCTGCGGCGCGCACCCCTGACCCGGCCCCGCCCCCGGCGGCCAC